CGGCTACGAAATGGCCGGGCCCCGAAGAGGCCAACGATCGAGGATGACCACCCGACGTCCCTCTAAATCCCAGATACCCTAATTCCTAGCTCGTTCCATCTTCCAGCGTGGAGAATCCTTGCTACCACTTTGGATTGCCGTACCCTCGCACTTCATTATGGACACCTGCAATTTTGGTTGCACTCAAATGGATATATGTACTAATGTGATTTATGTTAGGTACTGAAGTGATACGGTTTATATACTCTATGTGGAACTGTATGTACTGGGAAGAGTTATAGCAGGCAGGTATGTTGGCTAGGACTATGTATTAACATCATTTATATATACTGTCAGGTAGAGGACATGTGTGGATACATATGGGTATGATTTATATGTATCCACACTACTACATCAAGTAGAGACTATATGTACTCATATGATTCATGTACCCTACCACATCAAGTAGAGAGCTATATGTACCTATATGATTCATATATTCTACCACATCAAGTAGGGAACTATATGTACTCATATGATTCATATGCACTACCACATCAAGTAGAGAGCTATGTGTACCTATATGATTCATATATTCTACCATATCAAGTATAGAACTATACAATATACCCACATGACACATATGCAATACCACATCAAGTAAAGAGCTATATGTACCTATATGATTCATATATTCTACCATATCAAGTATAGAACTATATGTACTCATATGATTCATATGCACTACCACATCAAGTATAGAACTATACAATATACCCACATGGTACATATGCAATACCACATCAAGTAGAGAACTACATGTACTCATATGATTCATATGCACTACCATATCAAGTAGAGACTCATATGTACCCACATGATTCATATACCACATCAAGTAGAGAACTATGTACACACATATGATACATATACACCACCATATCAAACAAAAGACTATATGAACCAGTATGAATCATGTACACCATATCAAATAGAACCACATATGTACATATGTACCAATATACTTCACATACACCACCATATCAAACAAAAAGCTATGTGAACCAGTATGAATCATATACACCACATCAAATAGAACACATATGTACCAATATACACTACCAACTCAAATAAAGAACTATATGTAACGATTTATGCACATGTCACTCCATGTCTACCTATGGATCCAAGGGGTAACTCCACAATCGACTGATAAAACTGATAATCTTTACACACTTTGACAACCATGTAATAACAAGTTAACTTAATTACAAAAATGCGGTGTAATTATTTAATTATATTAATGAAGCTTATTACTGTTAACAAATCAAAATTAAATGAAATGTAAAAATCTCCAAAATCTTCAGCCATGTCAGACCCTGTTCAGGGTCAAGTCTGAGATGCGTAATATCGTTGTAAAAGAAGGGCAAGATCGAAGGGAATAGTCGAAGGGGTACGCGTAAATTCCAAGCATCGCTAGGTAGTCGGTGGCCGGGTGTCGATCGATCGATCAATTATCGAGAGATTCGGAGAATCCGAACGGCGGCATCGGTGGCGGTGACGGTGGTGACGATGTAGTTTTCGGTAAATGTGTCGAAGCCCACCGACCCGCGATGCGGTGTCGTTGCCCTCTTCTCTTCGGTCTGCTCGGTGCTGGTTGCACGGCCTGCCGCCGCCGCCGCCGTCGTCGTCGTCCAGCTCTCTCGATCTCTTTCCCATCGCGTCTCTCCCTCTTTCCCGGCCCTTCTTCTTCCTCGTTCCCGTCGTTCCCCCGTGTTCGCCACTCTCTTTCTCTCCGTCTCCGTCTCGCGATGCGTATACACATCGGGCCAAGAGCCACCACCGCCGCCGCCGCCGTCGTCGTCGTCGTTGCTGCTGCCGTTGCTGCCGCTACGAGTAGGTTATCCCTGTCCCCTCCGCGGGACCATCCTCTTATTCCCACTCCTCCTTCGGAGCACCTGTCGTGCCAGGGAGTTCGGCGCGTTAGGGGCGCTCGCCGGAGGTAAGTAGACGGCAGGTTATCAGTCCGCAGAACATCTTCGTCGCGAACGGAACCGTAAACCGGTGTGGTTACGCATTCTTTCGTGGTGGACAGATAGAAGGAGGAACGAGAACGAGGGAAAGGTGGAGGTAGACAACCGGCCGAGGAGAGGACAAATTGACGAACGTACGTCGGGGAGCCTTTTGACGGAATACGTTGTTGGTGCCGGTGCCGTTGCCGTTACCTGCCCGTTATCGATGCTCGCCTGCGTCCAACGGGAGTTTGTCCCTATATCCGCACCACGCTCGAACGTAGGGCAACTACGCGCGATTCGATCGGTTACTTATTGACTGTGAATCGTCGACGAATACGGGTAATCGCGGGCACCGATACAATCGGTCGCCTCAATTTGCGGTGTGCCAGTCGAATGCGATGATCGCGTAAACGATCACAGCCACGGGATTCTCCGGTGAATTGTGTTGAGTGACGGATCTCGTTACACGCCCAGGAACACCAAACTGTTCGGACCTGACCGACAGACACGGATGATACATCGTTTGGATCCAACGGGCGAGAAGAGGAACTGAGGAACCTATATTCCAGAGGGTTTCCACGGGAGGGGTTGATAAGGAGATAACAAGGCTGCCGGGATGCGGCACGAGGAGCCGCTAAGCTGCAGCTAACACGTGGCGACTCCGCACGCACTCCGCGATCGCTAGGTGAGCCTTTAGGCTGTCGATCATTTGGTTCGCATCACTATACTTTTAATCATAATTATCGATTGTCTACACAAATTATATCACGTGTCGATCACGTTCTAAGTTTAAGTTCTGCTAACAGCCATCAAATATTTTCTTATTCTTGGTAACAATATAGAACCTATAGTTAGCTACAAAAATACTACGTTCACATACTGCGCCAACCTTCAAAGAAGTTCATCTGCTTGGTTCCCATCAGACATTTCCTTTTTTTTAATAACAATATAGCATCTATAGCTTCATAAATACTACGTTCACATACTGTGCCAAGTACCTCTAAGAAAGTTCATCTACTCGGTTCCCATCAAACATTTCTTATTTTTGATAACAATACAGCATCTGTAAATATTACATTCACTGTGCCAAGCTTTAAGGAAGTTCATCTACTTGGTTCCCATCACATTTTCTTATTTTTAATAACAATATAGTTAGCTACATAATTCTATGTTCACATACCACTGATGTTCAGCTAATAGCACACGACTTGATTGACATCTAACTTATTTTCTTATTTCTAATGATAATATAGCGTCAATGTTTAGGTACATTAATAAGACGAATGTGTTCGTATCAATCTAGTACCGTTTCAAAGCTGTTAAGTGAGCAACAGCCTTTAAAGCCTTAAATGTCCAGTTAACAGCACAGCACCTGGCATTGAAGCTGCTTGGATACATTCTCTTGTTTTTACTAATAACACTGTAGCTTTCGCCATTAAGGTGTGATGGGCCACGTATCTGGGGCTAGGTATTTTGGTAATATATGAATATTAAAGATTAACAATCTTTAAGTAACTCAGTAGCATAAAATCAATCATATGAGTTTAGGAATTATAGTATGGCTTCATGAGTAGTCGTTCAGGTGTTAAGTGGCAATTTAAGCTTACTTAGTTAATGTCTGAGTGATGTAGACACAACTTTAGTATATTTTAATCTTCAAAGAATGTTCAGTCGGAAAGTCAAAGAATTTGGTTATGAAGAAATCAAATTAAGTCAACAAGTCCTAAGACAGTCCACATAATAGTGATGTCCATATGTGGATGGATAACCTTTAACGTTTCATTAATTTCGAACAAGCCAACCAAGACTTTTGGATTAACCCTGTGCTAACTTTGTCCAGATTATAACTTTGTCCAGGTCAATATAACTTTATCCAGATTAATATAACTTTGTCCAGATTAATATAACTTCGCCCAGGTAGATACATCCAGATGCAAAAGGTCATCATATCAATCTTGTTCAGAAGTGTTAAAAGATGTAAATAAGTCCATCTAGCAATCTTTGTAGCAACATCGAAACTGCTCACATTGTAGAGCTACAGAGTTTTAGTTCCCGAGTTATCCTGTTTAAGGACATCCTACCCATCCTATATATGCTACATCTTTTTGTTTAGGAACAAGTTCCTTTTAAAACCAAAGTTGTTCCACCTGAATATATAGGGACTTTCAAACTCGATGCCCCTTGAGGTTCTGAATGGCTATGAATCAACATCGTCAGGATGACATCGAGTGTCCCACTCCAAAGTCAAAATTTGCTCATGCAAACGCACCTTTAGGACCAATTGCAACATAGTGAGAAAATGTCTCAAAATGTCATCGAAAGGCCCCCAGTAGAAAAAGGAACAAGTGCCCTTAACAGACCGTTCGTTTTCGCTTAACGGGCTACCCATTCAAGTATTCCCGCGCGGCTGCGACAGTTAATGCAAACCAGGTCCCCGATGATCCGGCTGTCGATGTAAACGCGCACGCGGATAGAGCGGACCACGAAGAAACAGCCAGGCGGATAAGGTTCTCGTACGAGGAAATCTGGTGGGGAGGGAATGTGGTCGGTCCGCAAGCAAGGAGGCCTCACCAAATTTTCGTGCCGCTGGTCTGGGCGCAATGTGCCTCGAATCTCCACGTGCTTCGTGGTCTGTCCATCTTGCTCGCTCCGACGGTGTGCCCTCTTTCTCGCGCCCATTTGCCATCTTCTTCAATCGCGAGCACAGGAGGCTCCGTTCCCGCGGACGTCTTGTCCCACACTCTTCTCTCTCTCTCTGCGGATCCCCTTCTTTCCCGTTGGCCTCTCTTCATCGGAGGAGCTGACTCGGGCACCCAATTGCTTCGCGGAGCCCCGAGAGTTGGCGCGCGCGCATTCCGGTTAGCGGTCCGACGTAACCGTTGCCGCTTCTGTCGTCGACGAATGTTGCTCCTTTATTGTTATACCCGAAATATTTAGCACGATTTTTTATGGCAAGTTTGAATACTACTTTGCTACTAAATTAGGAATATTGATAGCTTTAAATTCCTCCGGGAAATATTAGGCATCGACTCCGTTGTGGGTAGATCTGAAAAATTTTAGCAATTTTGGTTAGCAAATTACAAATATTAATATGTTTGAATTCCCCTTGGAAATATTGAGTTATCGACGCCGTTGTGGGTGGATCTAGAGGATTTTAGCAATTATGGTTACCATGGTAACGTTAATATTACAATTTCCAGAGGGTATAGAACTTTAAGATATTGTCTCAAACAGCAAACATGGACTTTTCTGATTTTTTATCTTCACCTTGACTGTGGTAAGGAAAGTCCCTTGCAAATTATTTTACACTAGACAGAGTTTTCCCCATCACTCATATATTTAGTACAACCAAGACAGATAATTAGAAATATTATTACAATATTTCTGATAGAACGATGTCAGAAATATTTTCTGATTGGCTTTCCAAATGAAGGTCAAGAGAAACCCTCTCCAAGATTATGTCACATGCGTTTGCTATTAATTTCAACGACCATATGTCAGAACCATATAGACACAACTAATTAACCTTCCTTCAGAATTATTAACCCTTAGGATTAACCCTTGTGTCCAAGGCTAAGGATTAACAGGTTCCTTATCAGACACCTTCGATTTCCCATACTAAATTAGTTTCGCATGAAATTTGAAATCATGTGAACATTCTACGTTATTTTATGAGAAAATGATTTACGGCGAATGAAATTTTTATGAACGAGTTAAATTTGGCCAACAAGGTGTTAGAATGTAATTTAAAATTTAAAGGGACAGTTAACCCTTCCAAGAATTAATTATTTATCACTAACTATTAAACTCTGATGATGATATAAATTTTTAATTTTATGACTCGTTCTAAACAACCTTACACAATATTACAAATTACAATGAATTTCTAAGAAATATCTAGAGAATCTTACTAAGAAAATTCCTAGGGAAAGTAACCGTTGCCGCTTCTGTCGTCGACGAATGTTGCTCCTTTATTGTTATACCCGAAATATTTAGCACGATTTTTTATGGCAAGTTTGAATACTACTTTGCTACTAAATTAGGAATATTGATAGCTTTAAATTCCTCCGGGAAATATTAGGCATCGACTCCGTTGTGGGTAGATCTGAAAAATTTTAGCAATTTTGGTTAGCAAATTACAAATATTAATATGTTTGAATTCCCCTTGGAAATATTGAGTTATCGACGCCGTTGTGGGTGGATCTAGAGGATTTTAGCAATTATGGTTACCATGGTAACGTTAATATTACAATTTCCAGAGGGTATAGAACTTTAAGATATTGTCTCAAACAGCAAACATGGACTTTTCTGATTTTTTATCTTCACCTTGACTGTGGTAAGGAAAGTCCCTTGCAAATTATTTTACACTAGACAGAGTTTTCCCCATCACTCATATATTTAGTACAACCAAGACAGATAATTAGAAATATTATTACAATATTTCTGATAGAACGATGTCAGAAATATTTTCTGATTGGCTTTCCAAATGAAGGTCAAGAGAAACCCTCTCCAAGATTATGTCACATGCGTTTGCTATTAATTTCAACGACCATATGTCAGAACCATATAGACACAACTAATTAACCTTCCTTCAGAATTATTAACCCTTAGGATTAACCCTTGTGTCCAAGGCTAAGGATTAACAGGTTCCTTATCAGACACCTTCGATTTCCCATACTAAATTAGTTTCGCATGAAATTTGAAATCATGTGAACATTCTACGTTATTTTATGAGAAAATGATTTACGGCGAATGAAATTTTTATGAACGAGTTAAATTTGGCCAACAAGGTGTTAGAATGTAATTTAAAATTTAAAGGGACAGTTAACCCTTCCAAGAATTAATTATTTATCACTAACTATTAAACTCTGATGATGATATAAATTTTTAATTTTATGACTCGTTCTAAACAACCTTACACAATATTACAAATTACAATGAATTTCTAAGAAATATCTAGAGAATCTTACTAAGAAAATTCCTAGGGAAATATACAGCAAATGTACGAATTCTTATTCACATACAGTTGACCTCATAAAAATTCAACCAAACACGTATTGTTCTCACGTATTCAATTGAATTTTAAATCAAACTTCATAATATGTAAAATATGTTCGATACGTGTGTTCGAAACACAATCTTACTATGGGAAGTTTGGTTAAGTATGGGAAATAAGTCCCTAGCAATTGGTTTAAGTAAACGATGCTACGAAATCGATGACTCGGCGAATCTCCGAAACGAATCGAGTAGCGTGCAGGTGTAGGCAGGTGTATAGGGTTCTTTTGCTTATGCATGCGTGTACACGGGGTGTCCAATATCCCTAGCTTATCATTTCCCTAGAACTCTAAATCTGATAGTCAAATATTTATATTTTTACATTTTTAGGTGATCAAATTTTTGGCTAGCAAATTTTTAGCTTTAAAATTCTTATACCTCTAAATTTTTAGTTTTATGAATTTCTTTAATTTTCATATTAGATTTCAATTCTCAAAATTTTTAAATTTCTAGGTTTTCACTTCTTTAGAAATTACTTCTAAATTACTAGAATTACTTTTAAATTACTGGAAGTACTAGATTTAAATTAGTAGATCTCCAAATCTCTAGATTTCTATATCCACACATTTCCAAATGTGAAAGCCCTCAAATTTTAACGCCTTCAAATTTCTAACCTCCAAAAATAACATT